GACAATAACTTCTGGGTTGGAGATCAACCTAAATGGATGAAATTTATCGTGAATCGCCATTCAGCCTCCTCGGCAGTCTGCTCTTCAACTAATTTCTGTTTTAAAATTGAGAGAACAATCGTACGGTGCAAACCTTAATAACCATGAAAATTTATAACATACTCGTATTAGAATTTGAGATTTGGTTCTCACCCTCTATAATTTGCTCTTTCTTTTCTGCATGTCTTGTTTCATTTTTGAGAATTAAAAGAAATTATCGTGAAGTTGTGGTCTTTGTTTTGGGATTACTATGAAGATCATATTTTCTTGCATAATGATGATGATGATGATCATATCTAGATTTGATTTTGATCATAGGTAGTACTGCAATCCCTACTTTGGTAATGGCCTTCTGAGTTAATGGTGATTCTAATCTGATTTCTGGTAAGCTTCTTAATTTACTTGTCTTTTTGAATTGGGTAATTAAGAATTTAGTTTTTTTAACAGGAAAACAGGCCAATCTTTACTCAATTTGGATAGACGTCTTCGAGTTGTACTTTTCCGAAGCACATAAAACAAAATACTTCAATTTTCTAAGTTTGGAACTTTTCGTTTTAAATTTGTCACAGTTTTTAATGTGAGATGGAAAAAAACTTGACATTCGAATGGGTAGTACGTAAGATGATTTGTTTAGATGCTAGTTTAGGAAATGAAAAGAAAGATAAGGGAGAGTGAATAAAAGTGGCAAGAAAGTGTGATTTCTAGATTTTTAAATACATTAAATTTTAAATGAATATGAATAAATAATATGGTATATGTCTATGTTTATTTGAATTTTAATGTATCTAACTAGTACTCCCTCCGTCCTGTTTTAATCGTCTGTTTTGACTTTTGGGTATATTTAAGAAAAAGAAAAAATAGAGTTGATTTTCCAAAATTGCCATTACTTTTTAGGAGGAATGACAATGAATGAGAAGATAAGGTGGACAAGAGTGACTTATTTTAGGGATATTTTAAGTATTTTACTCTTAAAAGTTTACGATAACAAGTAACAAACAACTTATTTTGGGACGGACAAAAAAGGCAAACATGCAATTTAAAATGGGACAAAGGGAGTAGTATGGAGAGTAGCTTTATCGATTACTTTTAGGGTGCTTAAGAGTGATTAACTTGTAAATAAAGTGATTTCTATAAGGGTATGTTTGGTTGGAAGAGAGGGGAGGGAAAAGAATGGATGAGGGAATGAGAAGGGAAGGGAAAGATTTCTTTCACCTTGTTTGGTTTGGAGGGGAAAAAATGTTTTATTTTAAATTTTTTATTTGTAGTTTTCATTTTTAAACTTATTTTGTTATCTATTTTCAAAAAATATATCAGTGTTTTTGATTTTATTCTTTCATTTTACTCCCTCCGTCCCATATTTTTCTTCTCACTTTCCTTTTTAATTACCCAAAGTAAATTTAATAGCTCATATATCTCCTATGGGAATGAGAGACATAAAGTGAAGGAAACACCTGAATGAAATCAACGAATATCATTTCTGTTCTATTCTGATGATATATAAAATTATGTATAAATAGCTGTGTCCCCCCCTCTTTTATCAGGTTAAAGAGTATCTACATGACCTTCCAGTAAAAGCCCTCCCAGGAATTGGTCATGTCTTGGAAGAGAAACTTAAAAAGAGACTAGTAACAACTTGTGGGCAGCTGCAGATGATACCCAAGGTCTAGGACACCTAGCATTATAATATTAGCCAGAATATTATCAGGCATTATGGTGAAGAACTAGGAGTTTAAATCTACCTACATACTTTATGAATTATGGGTATGATTTATGAGTAGGCTAGTTTCAAATTTACATACATGTAGTCATGTACATGATTTTCATTTACTTTGTGTTTCCTTGTCTCCAACTTTTCTTGTTTTGGATCTATATTTGGTTCAAGGGATGATTAGTTCTGAGCTTGAATTATTTGTTGTATTTTTAGTTGTAGTTCATTGCTTATCCTCCAATGAACAAATAGTACTTTCGTTAGCATCTATTTTTTTCAATTTTTGCTCCTATTTATGTTGTAATGGAATGATGCAAAAAAATGTTGTAATGGAAGAATAAATTAATACTTCGTATGTAGTACGGTTCAGATAAAATAACTCATCAACTGATTGACTGCCGTACGCTTTAATGATTATCTTTCTATCTTTCGTCCTTAAATTTTCAGAAATCGAGGTTGCATTTTATTGGTACCTGGAAAAACCGGTATTGTAAGCGTTTTCCAAGCTCTTCTGATGGATTTAGATGCACGGCTGTCATATCATCTGAATAATCTCAGGCCACTCCAATAATTCACGTGGACATGGTAATTTATTCAATAACGGTTCTATTTTCCATCCTTCAGAATGTACCCTCAGCTATGGAGGGTTGGGTAAAATTCATAAGTTTTTCATTTATTAGCTGGATAGTTAATCTACTATGAAGTGTTTCTTATTGGCAATTTGCTCGTATATGGCAATATAAGCTTTAGTGCATGTGTGTGTGTGTTTTTTTGTGTGTGTTAGGATTGCTTTTTTTGTATCAGTGGTTGTCCGGAACCATCCTGAGTTGCAGGGAAAACCTGTTGCCATTTGCCATTCAGATAATCCACGGGGAACATCAGAAATTTCATCCGCAAACTATACAGCTAGGCAATATGGTTGGATTTGAATCAAGATATTTCTTTTCAGGGAAAATTTCTGTTTGTTCATAAATTCAGCTAGCCATGAAATTTTCTTTGCAGGAGTTAAGGCCGGAATGTTTGTAAGAGATGCTAAAGGTCTCTGTCCTCAGCTTGTCATTCTTTCTTATGACTTTCAAGCATATGAAGAGGTATTGTGGGATTGGTTGAGTGAAAATGAATGTTCTTTTGCCACTCATTCTCCTCTGCCTTCACAACCTTCAGTTGTGCATAGGCTCTAACATGGGCTTTATGATTCATAGGTCGCTGATAAATTTTATGATATCTTGCATAAACACTGCAAGAAAGTTCAGGTCTGCCATGTTTATCATCCTTTTCTGAGTACATTATATTCGTGTGTATCATTTCAATTGGCTATTTTTAGTGAATGTAGGCGGTCAGTTGCGATGAAGCATTTTTAGATGCCACTGACTCAGGGGTGGAGGACATTCAAGCTTTTGTCCATCTGATCAGGATGGAGATTGTTGAGTCAACAGGCTGCACTGCAAGTGCTGGTATTGCTAGAAATATGCTCTTGGCCCGTCTTGCTACAAGAACTACTAAACCAGATGGACAATGTTGTATCCCTCCTGAAAAAGTAAATTTAATAGCTCATATATCTACCAATCTCCTATGGGAATGAGTGACATAAAGTGAAGGAAACACCTGAATGAAATCAATGAATATCATTTCTGTTCTATTCTGATGATATATAAAATTATGTATAAATAGCTGTGTCCCCCCCCTCTTTTATCAGGTTAAAGAGTATCTACATGACCTTCCAGTAAAAGCCCTCCCAGGAATTGGTCATGTCTTGGAAGAGAAACCTAGAAAGAGACTAGTAACAACTTGTGGGCAGCTGCGGATGATACCCAAGGTCTAATGCTGTAAAGATAAATGATGTTCTCTGTTTCCAAACTTCAATATCTACTATTGCCAACTTATGAGGATTTATTCTTATTTACCTTCAGGAATCTCTTCAAAAAGATTTTGGTCTAAAAACTGGTAATATGTTATGGAACTACAGTAGAGGGATTGACACCCGGTTGGTTAGACTTGCACAGGTTGTTGACTGCTAAAAGTTATGTTATGTTATTGCTGTGCGAAATTGATTACTTTATCCATCCTAAATTGATCTTCTCATGTGAAATTAACACGGATATTAAGAGTGAAACTAAATTAATTTAAATGCTCCTACCTACTTCTTAGGTTTACTAAATGTAACGTAAAAAGTAGTAAATATGTAGGTTATTAAGGGTAAAAGCGTCCTTTTATAAAACAAAGTATAAAGTGTAATAAGATCATTTTGGGACATCCAAAAAAGAGAAGTGAGAAATTCATTTTGGGAAGAAGGGAGTATCACTGTATCAATTTCTTTTTCTTCGCTTTACCTTCTGTTCTTTCTCAATTTCACTGTGAGGGGAGAAGGCATATATGTTTTTGGTACTTTCTTGCTTGTTTGTACCACATATCTCTACTGGTGACTAGCAGGATAAATTATAGACTGAGCTGGTTATCTTTATGGATTTACTTAAAGTAGTTACTGAACCCTGACTATGCAAACTTGTTTAGTTTTTTGCTACTTTCATGCCAAAAGAAAGCCACACGTACATTGCATGTCCTTGTTGTGTCTACGTCACCTATTTTAATTGTTTGAAATCTTCTATAAACATTAGCAGCCTTTATGTTTGCTACATCTTTGCAGGAAAACAAGTCAATAGGTGCTGATGTCAACTGGGGTGTGAGGTTCAAGGATCTGAAAGATGTTAGTGCTTTTTAATCCATACTTACAATTGCTTCCTACTTTCCTTTATCTGAAATTTTGAGTTCCTCCCAGTATTTGATGCTTTATACTGCAGGCTCAACATTTCTTAAAGAAGCTCTGTGATGAGGTTTCATTGCGTTTGCAGGGATGTGGCGTTAAGGGCCGCACTTTTACCCTTAAGGTTCATCCGTTGTCTTCATTTCTACCATCTCTTTAGGCCTTTAGGGTTGGGAACTATCTTGAATCTGATGTTCCAATCTGATGCATACACACATGACACACCTCTAACATTGCTTAGCTTCACTCTTGTTTTCTATTAAATAATTTAACGGGCTTCTTATTCCTCTGGTGTAATTTATTGTCCAGATAAAGAAGAGGAAGATTGATGCTGGGGAGCCTGCAAAATATTTGGGTTGCAGAATCTGTGACAACTTGGGTCACTCTACAACGGTTTGATTCTTTTTGTTGCTATACTGAACAAAATGTCTGTTTGGGTTCTATGCCTACTAAAATTTCCTTTTATGTTTTACTGAATTTTTCAAACTAGGTGGCAATGGCTACAGATGATGTCGATGTGCTTTATAGGATAGCTTCTCAGCTCTTTGGACATTTTCAAATAGGTAACCAGATTTGATTATAACTCCATCCGCATCACTCTTTGTTGCTGTTTACCTTATTGTCTGTCTCCGACTAATTTTTTTGATCACCAAAATTAGTAACATTAATGTGGCTCAGAATCCTCACATTGATACTTTGGATTTTTTTTACTCTTTAACTTCAATATCAACCTCACAATTCCCTCTTCCCAATTTGTGTGCCACTTTCCCTTGTCCCAAAAATAGCGGAAGGAGGTAGTAATATTTTATAAAAGATGCACATAACCCTAGCTCTTCTGGTCATTGCATGCAAGTAGTGGTTGTCTTTCTCGAGTAGTTCTAGTCCCTTCATTTTCATTACTAGGGTATATTTTTTATGGGCTCTATCTTAATTATATGTATCAATCTAATTCTCCTTTCTTTCAATTTAGCTGTTTTGTTTTTTTCTATGCAGATGTAGAGGATATAAGAGGAATGGGCTTGCAAGTTACAAAACTTGAGATGGCATTTAATACTAAACAAGGTTTGTTTTTCATTTTATGACTGGGACAACAACACTTTCTATAAGATATTTGTTTCGGCTATTTTGTGTCTTGTCGGTGGTTTCCTGGTTGGATTTGACTTCTCAAATCTACATATTCTATATAGGTGTGTGTATTTTCAAATTTTGCTTTTATGTATTTTATGGGAATTCTTTAACACACTTTCCAAGGCAATGAGAAGAATTCAATCCATGCTTGGCTTTCTTCTACCATGACAAATGACAGTAACCGCCCTAAAAGTAATCAGTCAAAGAGTGCTGATACAGGTTAAAGTACATTTCCTTTAACCTCCATCACATTTTCGTTCATAGTGCATTTGTTGTCTCTGCTTTTATCACATGCTTCATATTTTCGCATAGTATGTGCGTGTTCTACGTGCCTCGCGTTTTCTTTAAAGGACTAATTATGCAATGGTTTTTTCTATTACAGGGTCTCTTTCACAAATTTTGAAAGTACGAAGACTGTTTACCTACTTATGAAGACCACAAAGACTATTTATACATATAATTCTTTGAAATAAGAGTAAAATGATTACTTCAGAGTACAAGAAATGCATCATTCATAACATGTCCAATAAAAGTTACATAACCATACACATTTGTCATTTAAAACAAAAAAAAGATGGCAAAATAGACAGGCAAAAAGATAATCATGATGAACATTTTAACGCTAAAACTCCAAAACTCAATTCTAAATAGATTATAAATTCAAAAACAAATTTTAAAAATTTGTTTTTGGAAAAAAGAACAAAACAAATACCAATAGCTGCAAACTATCCGAATAAGAAAACAAATTTCAGAGATTCAATAAAAAATGAGAGAGGGAAGGTGGGAGAGAGAGATACAAAACTATAAGGAGAAAACATGGTTGCCCGCTTGTTTCCCTAATCAGAAGAATTACAAGTTAAAAGAAAAAGATGAAGAAATTACATTAGCTGTTGCAAACTCTTCAGCCGACCTGAATACTTGCTGATGGAGAGACGGAGATGGCACTTGAGACTCGAGCAATTATCAACTCTAACTTTTCGTAATATCAATATACTAGGTTTAAAAAGGCCAAATAATAATGATAGGTATATATGGTGAACCCTCAAGCCCATAGCTTTTTAAAAATAACCCATCACACTAATGAATTTCTCGTTAAAACTGAGGCTTACACCTCCCTTCTGCCTCATAAACCTGGGACGTAAGCCTCATCTGTCACAACTGAAGCATAAGCGCCCGAGGCGTAAAGCCACTGCCTTTGCACCCTGAGGCACACCTCCTCAAATGCCTTCGAAAACCATGAGTGAGCTCACCTGCACGAATTATCTGAGGTGTGGGCTGCACGATATTAGGTTTTAGAAAGTAAATTATTTCATCTCTGAACTGTTTGCTCCTTTTATCGTATTCAGTATGCTATGAATACCATTTATCAATTGTTTATTTTCAATCAGCTTAAAGTTCCTTGAGCTTTGTTGTAGCTATATTTACACATGAACAAAACACTTCCTTTTTTTGCAGGTAATGGTAATCAAGGTGTTGATGAAGACACTACCCATTTAGCAAGTTTTTTTAGTAGGACCTTTGGTTCAAAGCAATACTAGGCCGTCTACTAGTAATGTTGGTAATAGACAAGATGCTGGTCTTCCTCCTATAGTCCTATGCATGATCTTGATGTGGGTGTTATAGACTCTCTTCCTCCCGAGCTTCTCTCAGAAATAAATGAAATTTACAATGGGGAATTATTGAACTTTATTTCAGAAAGGAAAAACATTAGAGCTGATATATGCCACAAAAGTTTGGATGGTAACTTGTTAAATATGTTCTTTTATGGACAAACACACACAAACACATGCACATCCATATTTCCTTTTTCATGATGGGTTTCTTCCTTGTCATAAGCAGGTACACTCAGTACGGAAAAGACACGTTCTTCTAGTTGCCTTGGTTCATCGGATAATTTGGTAAGTCGTCAGGTATTTGAATGGATTAATTACATATAATGTATCAGTATTTCATCTTATAGTGAGATAATATCTTTAGTATCCCCGATTCATCTAATAGTGAGATAAGATTTTGATTAATTGTCTTCTAATATTTTTATTACGTGCATCAATATATAAAGGAGAACGCTCCTGCAGACTCTTGCTCTGGTGCTGCTTCCAGTTTAGAAAAATCAAATATGAATATTAATGGTTGTTCTGATGTAGTGGCATGTATAATGCCCTCTTCTCTAAGTCAAGTAGATACCTCAGTGTTGCAGCAGCTGCCTGAGGAGTTGAAGGTTGACATACTCCAGAACCTTCCAGCGCATAGGACCTGCGAGTCACCCTCACATGCTTCCCTTAAGTATGACAACATTGAGAACAATCAACTCTGGGCTAGAGATCAACCTAAATGGATCGACAAATTTAAAGCTAGTAACTGCAAGACTTTGTGAATGTTTTAGCTCAAATTTTTTGTGAATCAAGACCAAACAACATGTTATCATTAGTGCTGCAGAAGATTATGTCTGAGATATGTGTCATTGAAGATGTGGATGATACATGGTGTAATGCTGTGAGTTCCATGTGTGAACTTGTGAAGCAATATGTTGAACTAAAAGTTGAAACAGACATAGAAGAGGTTTATGTCTGTGCTTGCCTTCTGAGAAGGTACACATTAGTCTTCTAGAATCATTGCCTCTGCAATATCTTTACATTCTTTCATGCTAGACTTTTTTTTCTTCTTGCAACTCTATTTACATTGCCATGATATCTCTCCCCCATTGAATTAATGATTATTCGTTCAGGTATGCTAATGCTTAATTCTATTGATTTCAAAATTTTGTTTTTGATACAGGTTGACTGCAACGTCAAAAGTTTTCTGTGAAGTTTACAACAGCCTGCTTCCTTACCTTCAGGTTATCACAAATGTTTATAGATTCTATATCTGTTTGTCCAGATACATGCAAAAAAGCTTTGCTTTTCTCTCTTCGCTGACTGTTGAAGTGTACACAAACTGCACTATTTGAATATATTAGAGATTTAGAGGAATTAGAGGGATAGACATACAGTAATGCTACCTCAAAAAAAAAGAAAAAAAAAAAGAAATACAGTACTCTAGTAATCATTTGTTTTGCATATTCATTAGTTTCCGGCATCTCGCTCCTATTGAGTTATGGATCATGCATTCTTATTCTTCTTACCTGTCTTGGAATTGTTTTTTTCTGGATCCTTTGTTAGGCACGTGTTAGCGAAACGTATGGGGGAAGTCTACCGTTGTCTTACGTGAAGGACTAATTTATTACTACAAGTGGTGTGTGGCCTCTGCCTTTGTCAATGATTTGGCAATACCTGATTGATGATCACAACACTCTCCAAAATCTCACCTTCACCACTCTCTGAGAGTAGGTTTCAATTTGCCAACTTATATATCTTTTCGAACTTATTTCATGGGGGGGGGGGGTGAGAGAATATAATCTGATCTGGAATATATAAACAGTGTGTTTTTTATTGTGGCACTGCTGTCCAGAACTATGTGTCCATACATATAAATAGGAGACTAAACAACACAACCATTACAAATAGACACAACAGTTTCTAACCAACACATCTGTTGGAAACTGTCATAAAATTGCCTGCCTAACTGCCAAGTCTTCAATGTCCATCAGTTGCCTCATCTCGATAAACTTGACCCTCGGTAATGCTTTTGTCAAGATATCAGCTTTCTTACATGCTCAATCCTTACTAGCTCTTTCTCGACACATTCACGAATGAAATGATATCGATTGTCAATATGCTTACTTCTCCCATGGAACACTGGATTCTTCATTAACATGATTGCAGCCCTGTTATCCACGTGAATTGTTATGGGTTCCATGCTTTGACCAGTGATTTCTTCAAGCAAACCTTTTAACCAGACAGCTTGACATGCGGTTGCCGTTGCTGCCATAAACTCAGCCTCACATGAAGATAGTGCAACCGTATTCTGTTTTTGGCTGCACCATGCTATCGGACCACCCCCATAATAGAAAATTATCCCAGTTGTAATCTTTCCATCTGCCCGATCAGTCGCATGTGAGCTGTCACTATAACCAACCAAATCTGCATCGCCATTCCTCCTGTATCGAATCCCATAATTGATTGTACCCTTCAAATACCGCATCACCTGTTTTACAGCTTGCATATGTGATGTTTTTGGTGACTCAATGAATCGACTGGTTATTCCAATTGCATAACTCATATCTGGCCTTGTATGGGTTAGATATCGAAGACACCCAATAATCCTTCGGTACTCAGTTGCATCAACAGACTCCAGCTCCTCATCTTTTCCAAGCTTAAGACTTGGATCTATTGGAAATTTTGCAGGATTACACTCCCACAAATTTGCATTTTTTAGAACCTTTGTTGCATATCCTGTTTGCTTCAAAGTAATGCCAGTTTTGTCTTGATTCACCTCTATTCCCAAATGGTATGTTAGAAGCCCCAAATCACTCATTTCAAAACAGCTTTTCATCTGTCTTTTGAACCCAACAATCTCATCCTTGCATGGACGTGTGATGATTAGATCATCAACGTATACACCAACTATTAATGGTCCATTCTTCGTGTTTCGCTTGTATACAGCATGTTCACGTGGACAACGCTTGAAACCAAGTTGTTGTAGAGTCGCATCTAGCTTTGAATTCCAGGCTCTCGGGGTTTGCTTCAGGCCATATAAAGCTTTTACCAATTTGTACACGAGATGTTCCTTTCCTGGCTTCTCAAACCCCTCGGCTATGTTGCACGGAAACTCCATATAGGCTGCCGTACCCGTTTCAGACACCTTGGACACGCCGACACGCCACGGACACGCCTGGAGACGTCTCGGAAACTCCACGTGGCGTTTCTGTAATTTTAATTTTAAAAAAGAGAAAAAAATGCCAAGGAAACGGATGGGACACGCGTGTCTCTTTTGGGAAACAGCAGGGACACCTCTTTTGAAAAAATGGGGTTCTTTTTATAAATTTTAAAAGTTTTGGAACTGACTCAAATTATAAAAAGTATTATCTGGGCAAATCTGGCCCTAAATCTTCATCGCTCCTCTATGTTACGCGGCTATCATATTCATCGACAATAGACAACGGCCCTCGAAGAAGCTTTACGCAGCTGGTTGGCCAACTACTCGCCGACAAAGGGCGCAACATCAGGTGAAGTGTTCTCTCCAAATAAGCTTCTCGCCGACAAAGGGAGAAGCTTACGCCGCTTGTCAGTGACTACTGGATTTTTTTGTTATGTATTTTGAACTTATTTATGCTTTAATATGTTTTGTAATGACTAAATTATGCTCTCTCTTTTGAACTTATACATTAATATGTTTTGTAATGACTAAATTATGATATATCTTGTGAATTTATACTTTAATATGTTTTGTAATGACTAAAATATGTTATGTATTGTGAATTTGTTTACATAATTTTATTTATATATATATATAATTTATATATATAAATTTGGCGTTTCCCCGGCGTTTCGTCTCTTCATTTTTTCAAAATAGCCGTTTCGGCGTGTCCGTTTCGTTTTGTCTCCGTCCCCGTTTCCGTTTCAGTGATACATAGCCCTCGGGTTGTGATACATATACATCCTCCTTTAAGTATCCATGAAGGAAAGCCGTCTTCACATCAAGATGGTGAACTTCCCAACCATTTCGTGCAGCTAGGGATAGAAGAAAACGGACTGTTTCCATTCGAGCAACTGGAGCAAACACCTCATCGTAGTCAATACCATGTTTTTGGACATACCCCTTTGCAACGAGTCTCGCTTTATAGCGAATTATATTGTCTGTGGCATCCCTTTTGGCTTTATAAACCCACTTCAGACCAATCGGTTTAACTCCTTTCGGGAGTTCAGCCAATTTCCAGGTTCCATTTCGTTCAATAGAATCCAATTCGTCTTGCATTGCAGTACTCCATTCTTTGCTATCTTTGGCTTCATTAAAGGTACTTGGTTCTTCATTGGATAGTAATAATTCTGCGTCATCAAAGTGAGGTGGATTGAAAGCCTTCTCTTGTATCGAATGAGTTCTTGAATACACATCATTTAGCAAGCAGAATCCTCGAGGGGGTGTATCATCTTAATGTGAACTTGAAACAGGACTTGCACCTGATGTACTAAGATTTTCAAACTCATGCGGGCTGTTTGGAACATTTAGTGAGCTGATAAGAGTGCTTGGAACCGAGACAGGCGACTTTGGGCTAGACAACGAACAATTCTCCGGTGTGCTAACAGATTCACACCCATTCTGTACTGATAGAATTGTGGATTGGGTATGGATAACTGGATTGGGTAATAAGACACTTGGGTTGAACCGCATTAAAAGATTAAATCCAATCGATTAGCTAGTTCAACTCTAGAGCTTATATACCGATTATTTTACTCTTGGATTTCCGATGTGGGATGTACTCTAACACTCCCCCTCAAGTGGACAACCGGGCCATTTTGAATCTAACCGGTTGACCACTTGCAAATGAACTCCCATTCCCTTGACCTTTTTTTTTTGTTTTTTTGAGCGCCAACACCTAAAGGACCACGAGCCGCTGGGTATGGACTTCCAGACGAGCAATCGTGTTAAACAGGCCGCAGGCCGTTGGATACAACCTCCATACGGACAACTGGGCTAAAGACTAACGGGCCGCTAGGAATGAACGTCTAGACAGACACCTTGACAAACGAGGTGGACTAAAACTGGCTCTGATACCATGATAGAATTGTGGATTGAGTATCGATAACTGGATTGGGCAATAAGACACTTGGGTTGAACCGCATTAAAAGATTGAATCCAATCGATTAGCTAGTTCAACTCTAGAGCTTATATACCGATTATTTTACTCTTGGATTTCCGATGTGGGATGTACTCTAACATGTACGATTGGAGCAGCCTGACCTTCGGTGTGATTGGGTGAGGTATTGAGTGGGCTGCCACCATTTTGAGTCAATCCTTGACCAGTCACACAAGCTTCATTTTCAACAACAAATTCAACCTGCCTTTCATTTCCCTCTGTCTCCAAATCTTTAGCCCAGTCCCATGCTTTGTTTTCTTCAAATTGGAGATCCCTGCTAACACATAACCTTTTTGTCTTTGGGTTGTAAAGTCGATATGCTTTGCTTCCTGGTTCACTCCCGAGATTTACCATTGCCTCGCTTCTGTCTGACAACTTTTTTAATTTGGGTGTTGGTACTTTGACATGCGCCATACATCCAAACACTTTAGGTGTTCCAAATTGGGCTTCTGTCCTTTTAGGGCTTCATATGGGGTCTTCTTTTCTAAAGCTTTTGTCGGAGTTCTGTTCAAGATGTAGACAGCATGTCGAACACCTTCTCCCCACAACCATTGGGGTAAATTCATGGCCTTCAACATAGATCTTGTGGTTCCAAGAACAGTTTGGTTTCGGCGTTCAACCACACCATTCTGTTGTGGCGTATATGGTGCGGTTAAATACCTATTTATACCTTCTTCATTGCAAAGTTGTTCAAAGTTGGTAGAGACAAACTCACCTCCACGATCAGTTCTCATTGCCTTCACCTTGTAACCACTTTCCAATTCAATAGACTTCTTGAACTTGTTGAATGCCTCACATGCTTGGCCTTTTAATTTGATAACATATACCCACATAAATCTGTTGAAATCATCAACTAGCAATAAAAAGTACCTTTTCCCAGATGGTGTACTTGGTGTAATAGGACCACACAGATCAGCATGTATCAGTTCAAGGGGTAGCTGTGCTCGATAAGAAATTTGGCACACCAATCACCAATTTTTCTTTTGATAACTTCCTTATAGCATCAAAGTTTAAATGTCCAAGGCGTGCATGCCAAATCCATGCTGCCTCGTCCATCTTTGCAAGTAAACATGTTGGTGGAACTATATGAAGATGTACCTTATATAGTCGGTTTGGAGACTTCTTCACTTTCATCAATGTTGCTCCTGATCGGTCACATTAGAGCTGATATATGCCACAAAAGTTTGGAAGGTAACTTGTTAAATCTGTTCTTTTATGGACAAACACACACAAACACATGCACATCCATATTTCCTTTTTCATGATGGGTTTCTTCCTTGTCATAAGCAGGTACACTCAGTACGGAAAAGAAACGTTCTTCTAGTTGCCTTGGTTCATCGGATAATTTGGTAAGTCGTCAGGTATTCGAATGGATTAATTACATATAATGTATCAGTATTTCATCTTATAGTGAGATAATATCGTTAGTATCCCCGATTCATCTAATAGTGAGATAAGATTTTGATTAATTGTCTTCTAATATTTTTATTACGTGCATCAATATATAAAGGAGAACGCTCCTGCAGACTCTTGCTCTGGTGCTGCTTCCAGTTTAGAGAAATCAAATATGAATATTAATGGTTGTTCTGATGTAGAGGCACGTATAATGCCCTCTTCTCTAAGTCAAGTAGATACCTCAGTGTTGCAGCACCTGCCTGAGGAGTTGAAGGTTGACATACTCCAGAACCTTCCAGCGCATAGGACCTGCGAGTCACCCTCACATGCTTCCCTTAAGTTAAGTATGACAACATTGGGAACAATCAACTCTGGGTTGGAGATCAACCTAAATGGATCGACAAATTTAAAGCTAGTAACTGCAAGACTTTGAATGTTTTAGCTCATATTTTTGTGAATCAAGACCAAACAACATGTTATCATTAGTGCTGCAGAAGATTATGTCTGAGATATGTGTCATTGAAGATGTGGATGATACATGGTGTAATGCTGTGAGTTCCATGTGTGAACTTGTCAAGCAATATGTTGAACTAAAAGTTGAAACAGACATAGAAGAGGTTTATGTCTGTGCTTGCCTTCTGAGAAGGTACACATTAGTCTTCTAGAATCATTGCCTCTGCAATATCTTTACATTCTTTCATGCTAGACTTTTTTTTTCTTCTTGCAACTCTATTTACATTGCCATGATACCTCTCCCCCATTGAATTAATGATTATTCGTTCAGGTATGCTAATGCTTAATTCTATTGATTTCAAAATTTTGTTTTTGATACAGATTGACTGCAACGTCAAAAGTTTTCTGTGAAGCTTACAACAGCCTGCTTCCTTACATGCAAAAAAGCTTTGCTTTTCTCTCTTTGCTGACTGTTGAAGTGTACACAAACTGCACTATTTGAATATATTAGAGATTTAGAGGAATTAGAGGGATAGACATACAGTAATGCTACCTCAAAAAAA